TTACTGTGTGACACACACACACACACCATGTAGTTACTGTGTGTCACACACACACACACACACCATGTAGTTACTGTGTGTGACACACACACACACCACCATGTAGTTACTGTGTGTCACACACACAACACCATGTAGTTACTGTGTCACACACACACACACACCATGTAGTTACTGTGTGTCACACACACACACACCACCATGTAGTTACTGTGTCACACACACACACACCATGTAGTTACTGTGTGTCACACACACATCACCATGTAGTTACTGTGTGTCACACACACACAACACCATGTAGTTACTGTGTCACACACACACACAACACCATGTAGTTACTGTGTGTCACACACACACAACACCACCATGTAGTTACTGTGACACACACACACACCATGTAGTTACTGTGTCACACACACACCATGTAGTTACTGTGTCACACACACACACACCATGTAGTTACTGTGTGTCACACACACACAACACCATGTAGTTACTGTGACACACACACACACCATGTAGTTACTGTGTCACACACACACACACACACACCATGTAGTTACTGTGTGTCACACACACACACACACCATGTAGTTACTGTGTGTCACACACACAACACCATGTAGTTACTGTGTCACACACACACACACACCATGTAGTTACTGTGTGTCACACACACAACACCATGTAGTTACTGTGTCACACACACACACACACCATGTAGTTACTGTGTGACACACACACACACAACACCATGTAGTTACTGTGTCACACACACACACACAACACCATGTAGTTACTGTGTCACACACACACACACACACCATGTAGTTACTGTGTCACACACACACACACCACCATGTAGTTACTGTGTCACACACACACAACACCTTGTAGTTACTGTGACACACACACACACACACACCACCTTGTAGTTACTGTGTGACACACACACACACACATCACCATGTAGTTACTGTGTGTCACACACACACACACACCATGTAGTTACTGTGTGTCACACACACACACATCACCATGTAGTTACTGTGTCACACACACACACACCATGTAGTTACTGTGTGTCACACACACACACAACACCATGTAGTTACTGTGACACACACACACACACACCATGTAGTTACTGTGTGTCACACACACACACAACACCATGTAGTTACTGTGTCACACACACACCTTGTAGTTACTGTGTGTCACACACACACACATCACCATGTAGTTACTGTGTGTCACACACACACATCACCATGTAGTTACTGTGTCACACACACACACACACCATGTAGTTACTGTGTGACACACACACACACACACCACCATGTAGTTACTGTGTGACACACACACACACACCATGTAGTTACTGTCACACACACACACACACACCATGTAGTTACTGTGTCACACACACACACACACCATGTAGTTACTGTGTGTCACACACACACACACACACCATGTAGTTACTGTGTGTCACACACACACCATGTAGTTACTGTGACACACACACACAACACCATGTAGTTACTGTGTCACACACACACACATCACCATGTAGTTACTGTGACACACACACACACCATGTAGTTACTGTGTGTCACACACACACACACCGTGTAGTTACTGTGTGACACACACACACACACACACCATGTAGTTACTGTGTCACACACACACACACATCACCATGTAGTTACTGTGTCACACACACACACACACACCATGTAGTTACTGTGTGTCACACACACAACACCATGTAGTTACTGTGTCACACACACACACATCACCATGTAGTTACTGTGTGTCACACACACACACACACACCATGTAGTTACTGTGTGTCACACACACACACCACCATGTAGTTACTGTGTCACACACACACACATCACCATGTAGTTACTGTGTGTCACACACACACACCATGTAGTTACTGTGTCACACACACACACACACCATGTAGTTACTGTGACACACACACACACACACCATGTAGTTACTGTGTGTGACACACACACACCATGTAGTTACTGTGTGTCACACACACACACACACCATGTAGTTACTGTGTCACACACACACACAACACCATGTAGTTACTGTGTGTCACACACACACACACCATGTAGTTACTGTGTCACACACACACATCACCATGTAGTTACTGTGTGTCACACACACACACACCATGTAGTTACTGTGACACACACACACACACAACACCATGTAGTTACTGTGTGTCACACACACACACACACACCATGTAGTTACTGTGTGTCACACACACACACCATGTAGTTACTGTGTCACACACACACACACACCATGTAGTTACTGTGTGTCACACACACACACCATGTAGTTACTGTGTCACACACACACACACACCATGTAGTTACTGTGTGACACACACACACACCATGTAGTTACTGTGTGTCACACACACACACCATGTAGTTACTGTGTCACACACACACACACACCATGTAGTTACTGTGTGACACACACACACACCATGTAGTTACTGTGTGACACACACACACACACACCATGTAGTTACTGTGTCACACACACACACATCACCATGTAGTTACTGTGTGTCACACACACACACCATGTAGTTACTGTGTCACACACACACACACACCATGTAGTTACTGTGTGTCACACACACACACCATGTAGTTACTGTGTCACACACACACACATCACCATGTAGTTACTGTGTGTCACACACACACACCATGTAGTTACTGTGTGACACACACACAGGGGTCAGTGTAGGTGAGTGAGTAGGTGGGTAAGAAGGTGAGTAGGTGAATGAGTAGGTGAGTAAGTAGGTGAGTGAGTAGATGAGTGAGTGGGTAGGTGAGTGAGTGGGTAGGTGAGTGGGTAGGTGAGCGAGTGGGTGAGTGAGTGAGTGGGTAGGCGAGTGAGTGGGTAGGTGAGTGGGTAGGTGAGTGAATGGGTAGGTGAGTGGGTGAGTGGGTAGGTGAGTGAGTGGGTAGGTGAGTGAGTGGGTAGGTGAGTGAGTGGGTAGGTGAGTGAGTGGGTAGGTGAGTGAGTGGGTAGGTGAGTGAATGGGTAGGTGAGTGAATGGGTAGGTGAGTGAGTGGGTAGGTGAGTGAGTGGGTAGGTGAGTGAGTGGGTAGGTGAGTGGGTAAATGGGTAGGTGAGTGAATGGGTAGGTGAGTGGGTAAGTGAGTGGGTAGGTGAGTGGGTAGGAGAGTGAGTGGGTGAGTGGGTAGGTGAGTGAATGGGTAGGTGAGTGAGTGGGTAGGTGAGTGAGTGGGTAGGTGAGTGAGTGGGTAGGTGAGTGAATGGGTAGGTGAGTGGGTAAGTGAGTGGGTAGGAGAGTGAGTGGGTGAGTGGGTAGGTGAGTGAATGGGTAGGCGAGTGAGTGGGTAGGTGAGTGAGTAGGTGCATGAGTGGGTAGGTAGGTGAGTGGGTAGGTGAGTGAGTGGGTAAGTGAGTGAGTGGGTAGGTGAGTGAGTAGGTGAGTGAATGGGTAGGTGAGTGAGTGGGTAGGTGAGTGGGTAGGTGAGTGAGTGGGTAAATGGGTAGGTGAGTGAATGGGTAGGTGAGTGGGTGAGTGGGTAGGTGAGTGAATGGGTAGGCGAGTGAGTGGGTAGGTGAGTGAGTAGGTGCATGAGTGGGTAGGTAGGTGAGTGAGTGGGTAGGTGAGTGGGTAGGCGAGTGAGTAGGTAGGTGAGTGAGTGGGTAGGTGAGTGAGTAGGTAGATGAGTGAGTGGGTGAGTGAGTGGGTAGGTGAGTGAGTGGGTAAGTGAGTGAGTGGGTAGGTGAGTGAATGGGTAGGTGAGTGAGTGGGTAGGTGCGTGGGTGAGTGAGTGGGTAGGTGAGTGAATGGGTAGGTAAGTGAGTGGGTGAGTGAATGGGTAGGTGAGTGAGTGGGTAGGTGAGTGAGTGGGTGAGTGAATGGGTAGGTGAGTGAGTGGGTAGGTGAGTGAGTGAGTGGGTAGGTGAGTGAGTGGGTAGGTGAGTGAGTGGGTAGGTGAGTGAGTGGGTAGGTAAGTGAGTGGGTAGGTGAGTGAGTGGGTAGGTGAGTGAGTGGGTAGGTGAGTGAGTGAGTGGGTAGGTGAGTGAGTGGGTAGGTGAGTGAGTGGGTAGGTGAGTGAGTGGGTAGGTGAGTGAGTGGGTAGGTGAGTGAGTGGGTAGGTGAGTGAGTGGGTAGGTGAGTGAGTGGGTAGGTGAGTGGGTAGGTGGGTGAGTGAGTAGGTGAGTGAGTGGGTAGGTGAGTGAGTGGGTAGGTGAGTGGGTAGGTGAGTGAGTGGGTAGGTGAGTGAGTGAATGGGTAGGTGAGTGGGTAGGTGAGTGAGTGGGTAGGTGAGTGGGTGAGTGAGTGGGTAGGTGAGTGAGTGGGTAGGTGAGTGAGTGGGTAGGTGAGTGAGTGGGTAGGTGAGTGAGTGAGTGGGTAGGTGGGTGGGTAGGTAGGTGAGTGAGTGGGTAGGTGAGTGAGTGGGTAGGTGAGTGAGTGAATGGGTAGGTGAGTGGGTAGGTGGGTGAGTAGGTGAGTGAGTGGGTAGGTGAGTGAGTGGGTAGGTGAGTGAGTGGGTAGGTGAGTGAGTGGGTAGGTGAGTGAGTGGGTAGGTGAGTGAGTGGGTAGGTGAGTGAGTGAGTGAGTGGGTAGGTGAGTGAGTGGGTAGGTGAGTGAGTGGGTAGGTGAGTGAGTGGGTAGGTGAATGGGTGAGTGAGTGGGTAGGTGAGTGAGTGGGTAGGTGAGTGAGTGGGTAGGTGAGTGAGTGGGTAGGTGAGTGAGTGGGTAGGTGGGTGGGTAGGTGGGTGAGTGAGTAGGTGAGTGAGTGGGTACGTGAGTGAGTGGGTAGGTGAGTGAGTGAGTGAGTGGGTAGGTGGGTGGGTAGGTGAGTGAGTGGGTAGGTGAGTGAGTGGGTAGGTGAGTGAGTGGGTAGGTGAGTGAGTGGGTAGGTGAGTGAGTGGGTAGGTGAGTGGGTAGGCACCTAGAGGGACTGGGAGGCATGGAGGCCGGCTGGTAGGAGGCTGACACAGGGCTCCCGTGCATCGAGTTTTGTGACAGCTTGTACTGTCCTCCTCCTCCTCCTGCTCCTCCTCCTCCTCCGCCCCCACCTCCTCCACCAGCCCCTCCACCCCCGTGTCCCCCCCCACCACCACCACCCCCACCACCTCCTCCACCTCCTCCCCCGTGGCCCCCACCTCCTCCTCCTCCTCCTGCCCCTCCCCCGTGCTGCAACAGGGGCTGCTGCATGAGGCCTGGGTAGGAGGTGAAACAAACAAAAATACAACCCGGTACAGTGGTGTACAGTGGTGTACAGTGGTGTACAGTGTGTGGTGGTGTACAGTGTGTGGTGGTGTACAGTGTGTGGTGGTGTACAGTGGTGCTGTGTGGAGAGTGTGTACAGTTTGTATGGTGGTGCGGTGTAGTGTGTGGTGGTGTAGTGTATAGTGTAGTGGTGGTGTGTGGTAATGTATAGTATAGTGGTGTAGTGTATAGTGTAGTGGTGGTGTGTGGTAATGTATAGTATAGTGGTGTAGTGTATAGTGTAGTGGTGGTGTGTGGTAATGTATAGTATAGTGGTGTAGTGTATAGTGTAGTGGTGGTGTGTGGTAATGTATAGTATAGTGGTGTAGTGTATAGTGTAGTGGTGGTGTGTGGTAATGTATAGTATAGTGGTGTAGTGTATAGTGTAGTGGTGGTGTGTGGTAATGGATAGTATAGTGGTGTAGTGTATAGTGTAGTGGTGTAGTGTATAGTGTAGTGTTGTAGTGTATAGTGTGGTGGTGTAGTGTGTAGTGTAGTGTATAGTGTAGTTGTGTAGTGTGTGGTAGTGTATGGTGTAGTGGTGTAGTGTGTGGTGTAGTGTATAGTGTAGTGTGTAGTGTAGTGGTGTAGTGTGTAGTGTAGTGGTGTAGTGTATAGTGTAGTGGTGTAGTGTATAGTGTAGTGTGTAGTGTAGTGGTGTAGTGTATAGTGTAGTGGTGTAGTGTGTACTGTAGTGGTGTAGTGGTGTAGTGTGTAGTGTATGGTAGTGTATAGTGTAGTAGTGTATAGTGTAGTGGTGTAGTGTAGTGGTGTAGTGTGTAGTGTATAGTATAGTAGTGTATAGTATAGTAGTGTATAGTGTAGTGGTGTAGTGTGTAGTGTAGTGGTGTAGTGTATAGTGTAGTAGTGTATCGGTGTAGTGTATAGTATAGTAGTGTATAGTGTAGTGGTGTAGTGTATAGTGTGGTGGTGTAGTGTATAGTGTAGTGATGTAGTGTATAGTGTAGTGTAGTGGTGTAGTGTGTAGTGTAGTGGTGTAGTGTGTAGTGTAGTGGTGTAGTGTGTAGTAGTGTATAGTGTAGTGGTGTAGTGTGTAGTGTATAGAATAGTAGTGTATAGTGTAGTAGTGTATAGAATAGTAGTGTATAGTGTAGTAGTGTATAGTGTAGTAGTGTATAGTGTAGTGGTGTAGTGTATAGTGTAGTAGTGTATAGTGTAGTAGTGTATAGTGTAGTGGTGTAGTGTATAGTGTAGTAGTGTATAGTGTAGTAGTGTATAGAATAGTAGTGTATAGTGTAGTAGTGTAGTGTGGTAGTGTATAGTGTAGTGGTGGTGTGTAGTATAGTGTAATAGTGTATAGTGTAGTGGTGTCGTGTGTAGTGCAGTGGTGTAGTGTATAGTGTAGTAGTGTATAGTGTAGTGGTGTAGTGTATAGTGTAGTAGTGTGTAGTGTAGTGGTGTCGTGTGTAGTGCAGTGGTGTAGTGTATAGTGTAGTGGTGTAGTGTATAGTGTAGTAGTGTAGTGTGTAGTATAGTGTAGTAGTGTATAGTGTAGTGGTGTCATGTGTAGTGTAGTGGTGTCGTGTGTAGTGCAGTGGTGTAGTGTATAGTGTAGTGGTGTAGTGTATAGTGTAGTAGTGTAGTGTGAGTAGTGGTGTTGTGTATAGTCTAGTGTAGCGCTGTAGTGTATAAGGTGTCATGTGCACGTTGCGGTGTAGTGCGGCTGTACCCTGCGCATGCGGGAGGGAGTTCGAGGCGCTGGGTGACGGCTGTAGGATGTTCGGGGAGTGCATGCGGCTGTTGGACGGCTGTACATACGGTGAAGCAACCATGGGGGTACGGGGCGCCAGGGCTGGGAGAGAACAGACAGACGCAACACACACACAGGGTAACAGTCACACACACAACACACACAGGGCAACAGTCACATACATACCACACATACACAGGGCAACAGTCACATACATACCACACACACACAACCACACACAGGGCAACACAGAGCAAGTCACACACACACAGGGCAAGTCACACACACAACACACACAGGGCAACAGTCACATACATACCACACACACACAGCAACACAGAGCAAGTCACACACACACACAGGGCAAGTCACACAAACAACACACACACACACAACCACACACAGGGCAACAGCTACACACACAACACACACACACACAACCACACGCTACACAGGGTAAGTCACACACACACACCACACACAGGGCAAGTCACACACACAACACACACACACACCACACGCTACACAGGGTAAGTCACACACACAACACACACACACCACACACAGGGCAAGTCACACACACAACACACACACACACCACACGCTACACAGGGTAAGCCACACACACACACCCCACACGCTACACAGGGTAAGTCACAGCTCTATAGTGTGGTCTATAGTGTGGTCTATAGTTCTATAGTGTAGTCTATAGTCTATAGCTCTATAGTGTAGTCTATAGTGTAGTCTAGAGCTCTATAGTGTGGTCTATAGTAGTATAGACTCACTCTGCACTCCATAGCGAGACTGGAGGCTCTTCTCCTTGAACACAGTGTAGTGTATAGTGTAGTGTATAGTGTAGTCTATAGTGTAGTCTACAGCTCTATAGTGTGGTCTACAGTAGTATAGACTCACTCTGCACTCCATAGCGAGACTGGAGGCTCTTCTCCTTGAACACAGAGGGACTCCGAGCCAGCACTGACTGTAGAAGGGCTGGAACGTCGCCATCAGGCTCCTCGGAACCGCCCACACTCTCCTTCACCTCGCTACACAACAACAACACGGGGAGGAGACATGGCAGACTCACACGTGACTCGGTGGAGATCTGTGTGTCAGTGTGTTAGTGTGTGTGTGTCTCTCTCTCGGTGGGTGGGTGAGTGAGTGAGTGGGTGAGTGGATGAGTGGGTGGGTGAGTGGGTGGGTGAGTGGGTGGGTGAGTGGGTGAGTGGGTGGGTGAGTGGGTGAGTGGCTGGGTGGGTGGGTGAGTGAGTGGGTGAGTGAGTGGGTAGGTGAGTGGGTGAGTGGGTAGGTGAGTGGGTGAGTGAGTGGGTGAGTGGCTGGGTGGGTGAGTGGGTAGGTGAGTGGGTGAGTGGGTGGGTGAGTGAGTGAGTGAGTGGCTGGGTGGGTGACTGGGTGCATGGGTGGGTAGGTGAGTGGGTGAGTGAGTGGGTAGGTGAGTGGGTGAGTGGCTGGGTGGGTGAGTGGGTGAGTGGGTAGGTGAGTGGGTGGGTGAGTGGGTGGGTGCGTGACTGGGTGGGTGAGCGAGTGGGTGGGTGAGCGAGTGGATGGGTGAGCGAGTGAGTGGGCAGGTGAGTGGGTGGGTGAGTGGGTGAGCGAGTGGCTGGGTGGGTAGGTGGGTGAGCAAGTGGGTGGGTGAGTGAGTGGGTAGGTGAGTGGGTAGGTGAGTGGGTGAGTGTTTGAGTGTGTGTCTGTGTGTGTATCTCTCTGTATGAGTGTCAGTGTCTGTGTGTCTGTCTGTGTGTCTGTAGGTGCTCGGTGGAGACCTGTGTGTCAGTGTGTCAGTGTGTGTGTGTGTCTCTGGGTGGATGGGTGGGTGAGTGAGTGGGTAGGTGAGTGGGTGAGTGGGTTAGTGGGTAGGTGAGTGGGTGCGTGGCTGGGTGGGTGAGCGAGCGGGTAGGTGAGTGGGTGAGTGGGTAGGTGAGTGGGTGGGTAAGTGGGTGTGTGACTGGGTGGGTGAGCGAGTGGATGGGTAGGTGAGATGGGTAGGTGAGATGGGTGGGTGAGTGGGTGAGTGAGTGGGTGAGCGAGTGGCTGGGTGGGTAGGTGGGTGAGCGAGTGGGTGGGTGAGTGTTTGAGTGTGTGTCTGTGTGTGTGTATCTCTCTATATGAGTGTCAGTGTCTGTGTGTCTGTAGGTGTGTCTGTGTGTCTGTAGGTGTGTCTGTGTGTCTGTAGGTGTGTCTGTGTGTCTGTAGGTGGGTCTGTGTGTGTGTCTGTGTGTCTGTGTGTCTGTAGAAGTGTCTGTCTGTGTGTCTGTATGTCTGTCTGTGTGTCTGTGTGTGTCTGTGTGTGTGTGTGTGTCTGTGTGTCTGTGTGAGTGGGTGAGTGAGTGGGTGAGCGAGTGGCTGGGTGGGTAGGTGGGTGAGCGAGTGGGTGGGTGAGTGTTTGAGTGTGTGTCTGTGTATCTCTCTGTATGAGTGTCAGTGTCTGTGTGTCTGTAAGTGTGTCTGTGTGTCTGTATGAGTGTCTGTGTCTGTATGAGTGTCTGTGTGTCTGTATGAGTGTCTGTGTCTGTATGAGTGTCTGTGTGTCTGTATGAGTGTCTGTGTCTGTATGAGTGTCTGTGTGTTTGTTGGTGTGTCTGTGTGTCTGTATGAGTGTCAGTGTGTCTGTATGAGTGTCTGTATTAGTGTCTGTGTGTCTGTATGAGTGTCAGTGTGTCTGTAGGTGTGTCTGTAGGTGTGTCTGTGTGTGTGTCTGTGTGTGTGTCTGTCTGTGTGTCTGTCTGTGTGTCTGTCTGTGTGTCTGTCTGTGTGTCTGTCTGTGTGTCTGTCTGTGTGTCTGTGTGTGCCACTCACATGTGCTCGGTGGAGACCTGTGTGTCTGTAGGTGTGTCTGTGTGTCTGTAGGTGTGTCTGTGTCTGTATGAGTGTCTGTGTCTGTATGAGTGTCTGTGTGTCTGTATGAGTGTGTGTCTGTATGAGTGTCTGTGTGTCTGTAGGTGTGTCTGTGTGTCTTTATGAGTGTCTGTGTGTCTGTATGAGTGTCTGTGTGTCTGTTTGTGTGTCTGTGTGTCTGTAGAAGTGTCTGTCTGTGTGTCTGTATGTCTGTCTGTGTGTCTGTGTGTGTCTGTGTGTGTCTGTGTGTCTGTGTGTCTGTGTGGTGTGCCACTCACATGTGCTCGGTGGAGACCTGTGTGTCTGTAGGTGTGTCTGTGTGTCTGTGTGAGTGGGTGAGTGAGTGGGTGAGCGAGTGGCTGGGTGGGTAGGTGGGTGAGCGAGTGGGTGGGTGAGTGTTTGAGTGTGTGTCTGTGTATCTCTCTGTATGAGTGTCAGTGTCTGTGTGTCTGTAAGTGTGTCTGTGTGTCTGTATGAGTGTCTGTGTCTGTATGAGTGTCTGTGTGTCTGTATGAGTGTCTGTGTCTGTATGAGTGTCTGTGTGTCTGTATGAGTGTCTGTGTCTGTATGAGTGTCTGTGTGTCTGTAGGTGTGTCTGTGTGTCTGTATGAGTGTCAGTGTGTCTGTATGAGTGTCTGTGTCTGTATGAGTGTCTGTGTGTCTGTATGAGTGTCAGTGTGTCTGTAGGTGTGTCTGTAGGTGTGTCTGTGTGTGTGTGTGTCTGTGTGTCTGTCTGTGTGTCTGTCTGTGTGTCTGTCTGTGTGTGCCACTCACATGTGCTCGGTGGAGACCTGTGTGTCTGTAGGTGTGTCTGTGTGTCTGTAGGTGTGTCTGTGTCTGTATGAGTGTCTGTGTCTGTATGAGTGTCTGTGTGTCTGTAGGTGTGTCTGTGTGTCTTTATGAGTGTCTGTGTGTCTGTATGAGTGTCTGTGTGTCTGTTTGTGTGTCTGTGTGTCTGTAGAAGTGTCTGTCTGTGTGTCTGTATGTCTGTCTGTGTGTCTGTGTGTGTCTGTGTGTGTCTGTGTGTCTGTGTGGTGTGCCACTCACATGTGCTCGGTGGAGACCTGTGTGTCTGTAGGTGTGTCTGTGTGTCTGTAGGTGTGTCTGTGTGTCTGTAGGTGTGTCTGTGTGTCTGTAGGTGTGTCTGTGTGTCTGTATGTGTGTCTGTATGTCTGTAGAAGTGTCTGTCTGTGTGTCTGTATGTCTGTCTGTGTGTCTGTGTGTGTGTCTGTGTGTCTGTCTGTGTGTCTGTCTGTAGGTGTGTCTGTGTGGTGTGCCACTCACATGTGCTCGGTGGAGACCTGTGCGAGAGCGTGGCACAGCTGGGCCACCAGGGCATCCTCCCGGCACGAGAGCAGGCGGGCGGCATCCTCGGCCACACGCGGAGAGAACAGCAGAGACTTGTTGGTGGTGGCGGGGAGCGGTGACGGTAGGGGGAGCTCGTTCAGCACTGGGGCGGACAATCACAGAGTGGGTGAGTGGGTGGGTGGGTAGGTGGATGAGTGAGTGGGTGGGTGAGTGGGTGGGTGGGTGGGTAGGTGAGTGGGTGGGTAGGTGAGTGGGTGGTTGAGTGAGTGGGTGGGTGAGTGGGTGGGTGAGTAGGTGGGTGAGTGGGTGGGTAGGTGGGTGAGTGGGTGGATGGTTGAGTTGGTGAGTGAGTGTGTGGGTGAGTGGGTGGGTGGGTGGGTGAGTGAGTGGGTGGGTGAGTGAGTGGGCGGGCGAGTGAGTGGGTGCGTGAGTGGGTGGGTAGGTGAGTGGGTGGATGGGTGGGTGAGAGTGGGTGGGTGGGTGAGTGGGTGGGTGAGTGAGTGAGTGAGTGGGTGAGTGGGTGGTTGAGTGAGTGGGTGTGTGGGTGAGTGAGTGGGTGAGTGAGTGAGTGGGTGGGTGGGTGAGTGAATGGGTGGGTGAGTGGGTGGGCGGGTGAGTGAGTGGGTGAGTGGGTGGGTGAGTGAGTGAGTGGGTGAGTGGGTGGTTGAGTGAGTGGGTGTGTGGGTGAGTGAGTGGGTGAGTGAGTGAGTGGGTGGGTGGGTGAGTGAATGGGTGGGTGGGTGAGTGGGTGGGTGGGTGAGTGGGTGAGTGAGTGGGTGGTTGAGTGAGTGAGTGGGTGTGTGGGTGAGTGAGTGGGTGAGTAGGTGGCTCAGTGGGTGGGTGAGTGGGTGGGTGAGTCGGTGAGTGGGTGGATGAGTGATTGAATGGGTAGGTGGGTGAGTGAGTGGATGACCAAGTTGGTGGGTGAGTGAGTGGGTGATTGGGTGGTTGAGTTGGTGGGTGAGTGGGTGGTTGAGTGAGTGAGTGGGTGTGTGGGTGAGTGGGTGAGTGAGTGGGTGAGTGGGTGTGTGAGTGGGTGGGTGAGTGAGTGGGTGAGTGGGTGAGTGAGTGAGTGGGTGAGTGGGTGAGTGAGTGAGTGAGTGAGTGGGTGAGTAGGTGGGTGAGCGGGTGGGTGAGCAACTCGGTGAGCAACTCACGGTCGGTGAGGCTGGTAATGCCGGCCAGCGTTGTGATAGGAACATGAGGCATATCGCCATTCATCTTTCGGAGATTGGGCCGCAGGCGTTTTCACTTAAAAAAATCCCGCCGACGCTTCACCTACACACAAGAGAGGGAGAGAAATACACGCCGGTATGTTAACTACCTCGCCTGGTATGCAGGAGGCCGTCGATTCGATCCTGACCCTGACACCCACACTGGCCAGGAGATGTTGACGACCTCGCCTGGTATACGAGTAGCAGCATCTACACACAGACAAAGATCCCCCGTGTAGCCTCTAGCAGGGGTGTAGGGGCAAGTGCTGTCAGTAGCAAGTAGCAGCATCTACACACACAGACAAAGATCCCCCGTGTAGCCTCTAGCAGGGGTGTAGGGGCAAGTGCTGTCAGTAGCAAGTAGCAGCATCTACACACAGACAAAGATCCCCCGTGTAGCCTCTAGCAGGGGTGTAGGGGCAAGTGCTGTCAGTAGCAAGTAGCAGCATCTACACACACAGACAAAGATCCCCCGTGTAGCCTCTAGCAGGGGTGTAGGGGCAAGTGCTGTCAGTAGCAAGTAGCAGCATCTACACACAGACAAAGATCCCCCGTGTAGCCTCTAGCAGGGGTGTAGGGGCAAGTGCTGTCAGTAGCAAGTAGCAGCATCTACACACACACAAATATCCCCCGTGTAGCCTCTAGCAGGGGTGTAGGGGCAAGTGCTGTCAGTAGCAAGTAGCAGCATCTACACACAGACAAAGATCCCCCGTGTAGCCTCTAGCAGAGCTTTAGGGGCAAGTGCTGTTAGTAACGAGTAGCAGCATCTACACACAGACAAAGATCCCCCGTGTAGCCTCTAGCAGGGGTGTAGGGGCAAGTGCTGTTGGTAGCAAGTAGCAGCATCTACACACAGACAAAGATCCCCCGTGTAGCCTCTAGCAGGGGTGTAGGGGCAAGTGCTGTCAGTAGCAAGTAGCAGCATCTACACACAGACAAAGATCCCCCGTGTAGCCTCTAGCAGGGGTGTAGGGGCAAGCGCTGTTAGTAGCAAGTAGCAGCATCTACACACAGACAAAGATCCCCCGTGTAGCCTCTAGCAGGGGTGTAGGGGCAAGTGCTGTCAGTAGCGAGTAGCAGCATCTACACACAGACAAAGATCCCCCGTGTAGCCTCTAGCAGGGGTGTAGGGGCAAGTGCTGTCAGTAGCAAGTAGCAGCATCTACACACAGACAAAGATCCCCCGTGTAGCCTCTAGCAGGGGTGTAGGGGCAAGTGCTGTCAGTAGCAAGTAGCAGCATCTGCACACAGACAAAGATCCCCCGTGTAGCCTCTAGCAGAGCTTTAGGGGCAAGTGCTGTTAGTAACGAGTAGCAGCATCTACACACAGACAAAGATCCCCCGTGTAGCCTCTAGCAGGGGTGTAGGGGCAAGCGCTGTTGGTAGCAAGTAGCAGCATCTACACACACACAAATATCCCCCGTGTAGCCTCTAGCAGGGGTGTAGGGGCAAGTGCTGTCAGTAGCAAGTAGCAGCATCTACACACAGACAAAGATCCCCCGTGTAGCCTCTAGCAGAGCTTTAGGGGCAAGTGCTGTTAGTAACGAGTAGCAGCACCTACACACACACAAATATCCCCCATCTAGCCTCTAGCAGGCTGGAGGGGCAAGTGCTGTTAGTAGCGAGTAGCAGCACCTACACACAGACAAAGATCCGCCGTGTAGCCTCTAGCAGGGCTGTAGGGGCAAGTGATGTCAGTAGCAAGTAGCAGCATCTATACACAGACAAAGATCCCCCGTGTAGCCTCTAGCAGAGCTTTAGGGGCAAGTGCTGTCAGTAGCGAGTAGCAGCATCTACACACAGACAAAGATCCCCCGTGTAGCCTCTAGCAGGGGTGTAGGGGCAAGTGCTGTCAGTAGCAAGTAGCAGCATCTACACACACACAAAGATCCCCCGTGTAGCCTCTAGCAGAGCTTTAGGGGCAAGTGCTGTCAGTAGCGAGTAGCAGCATCTACACACACACAAAGATCCCCCGTGTAGCCTCTAGCAGGGGTGTAGGGGCAAGTGCTGTTAGTAGCAAGTAGCAGCATCTACACACACACAAATATCCCCCGTGTAGCCTCTAGCAGGGGTGTAGGGGCAAGTGCTGTTAGTAGCAAGTAGCAGCATCTACACACAGACAAAGATCCCCCGTGTAGCCTCTAGCAGAGCTTTAGGGGCAAGTGCTGTTAGTAACGAGTAGCAGCACCTACACACACACAAATATCCCCCATCTAGCCTCTAGCAGGCTGGAGGGGCAAGTGCTGTTAGTAGCGAGTAGCAGCAGCACCTATACACAGACAAAGATCCGCCGTGTAGCCTCTAGCAGACTGTAGGGGCAAGTGATGTCAGTAGCAAGTAGCAGCAGCACCTATACACAGACAAAGATCCCCCATCTAGCCTCTAGCAGGGGTGTAGGGGCAGTGCTGTTAGTAGCGAGTAGCAGCAGCACCTACACACACACAAAGATCCCCCGTGTAGCCTCTAGCAGGGCTGTAGGGGCAAGTGCTGTCAGTAGCGAGTAGCAGCAGCACCTATACACAAAGATCCCCCATGTAGCCTCTAGCAGGGCTGTAGGGGCAAGTGCTGTTAGTAGCGAGTAGCAGCAGCACCTATACACAGACAAAGATCCCTCGTGTAGCCTCTAGCAGGGCTGTAGGGGCAAGTGCTGTCAGTAGCGAGTAGCAGCGCCTATGAAGGCTACCGGCACTGTGGCACACCCAGAGGGGGTGGGTGGCTTGCACCACGCCCGGCAGGCCAAACTTTGTCTCACCATTGGCGATGTCTAGATGCATCTCTCTGAGTCTCTGCTTCTCTGAGTCTCTGTAGCTCTCAGTCTCCTCAAATCCACTAGAGGGCGATGTCTCCCCTCTAAACGGCCTAAGGCCAAATAATGAGCGGAGAAAGAGACAGGGGGAGACAGAGAGACACGGGGCCAGAGAGAGAGATACACACAGGGGGAAACAGAGACACAGGGGGAGACAGAGAGACACAGGGGGAGACAGAGAGACACAGGGGGAGACAGAGAGACACAGGGGGAGACAGAGAGGGAGACAAAGAGACATGGGGAGACAGAGAGACACAGGGGAAGACAGAGAGACACAGGGGGAGACAGAGAGACACAGGGGGAGACAGAGAGACACAGGGGAAGACAGAGAGACACAGGGGGAGACAGAGAGAGACAGGGGGAGACAGAGAGACACAGGGGAAGACAGAGAGACACAGGGGGAGACAGAGAGAGACAGGGGGAGACAGAGACACAGGGGGAGACAGAGAGACACAGGGGGAGACAGAGAGACACAGGGGAAGACAGAGAGACACAGGGGGAAACAGAGACACTGGGGGAGACAGAGAGACACAGGGGGAGACAGAGAGACACAGGGAGAGACAGAGAGACACAGGGGGAGACAGAGAGACACAGGGGGAGACAGAGAGACACAGGGGGAGACAGAGAGACACAGGGGGAGACAGAGAGGGAGACAAAGAGACATGGGGAGACAGAGAGACACAGGGGAAACAGAGAGACAGGGGGAGACAGAGACATAGGGGGAAACAGAGACACAGAGGAAGACAGAGAGACACAGGGGGAGACAGAGAGACACAGGGGGAGACAGAGACACAGGAGACAGAGACACAGGGGGAGACAGAGAGACACAGGGGGAGACAGAGAGACACAGGGGAAGACAGAGAGACAGGGGGAGACAGAGAGACACAGGGGGAGACAGAGAGACACAGAGGGAGACAGAGAGACACAGGGGGAGACAGAGAGACACAGGGGGAGACAGAGAGACACAGGGGGAGACAGAGAGACACAGGGGGAGACAGAGAGACACAGGAGACAGAGAGACACAGGGGGAGACAGAGAGACACAGAGGGAGACAGAGAGACACAGAGGGAGACAGAGAGACACAGGGGGAGACAGAGAGACACAGGGGGAGACAGAGAGACACAGGGGGAGACAGAGAGACACAGGGGGAGACAGAGACAGGGGGAGACAGAGAGACACAGGGGGAGACAGAGAGACACAGGGGAAGACAGAGACACAGGGGGAGACAGAGAGACACAGAGGGAGACAGAGAGACACAGAGGGAGACAGAGAGACACAGAGGGAGACAGAGAGACACAGTGGGAGACAGAGAGACACAGGGGGAAACAGAGAGACAGGGGGAGACAGAGACATAGGGGGAAACAGAGACACAGAGGAAGACAGAGAGACACAGGGGGAGACAGAGAGACACAGAGGGAGACAGAGAGACACAGAGGGAGACAGAGAGACACAGGGGGAGACAGAGACAGGGGGAGACAGAGACACAGGGGGAAACAGAGAGACAGGGGGATTCAGAGAGACACTAAGACAGAAACACTAAGACAGGGCCAGAAAGAGACAGGGGGAGACAGGGAGATACAGGGGGAGAACATAGACACACAGAGGGACAGAGAGAGGCACTAAGACAGAGACACCTAAAACAGGGCCAGAGAGACACACAGGGGGAGACAGAGGGACACAAACAGGGACACATTGTGAGACTCTGGGAGACACTGGGAGAGACACTGTGAGACTCTGTGAGACACTGTGAGAGACAATGTGAGACTCTGGGAGACACTGGGAGACACTGTGAGACTCTGTGAGATACTCGGAGACACTGGGAGACTCTGGGAGACTCTAGGAGACACTGTTAGAGACACTGGGAGACTCTGTGAGACATTGTGAGACTGTGAGACACTGAAACACTGTGAGAGACTGTGAGACTCTGTGAGACACAGTCTATGGGAGACACTGGGAGACACTGTGAGACTCTGGGAGACACTGAAACACTTTCAGACACTGAGACACTTTGAGACACTGAGACAATGTCAGACACTGTGACACTGTTAGACACTGAGACACTGTGAGACACTGAGAGTCTCTGGGAGACACTGTGAGACACTGTGAGACACTGGGAGACACTGAGAGACACTGGGAGACACTGAGAGACACTGGGAGACACTGAGACACAATGAGAGATACTGTGAGACACTGTGAGAGACTGAGACACTGTGAGACACTGAGACACTGTGAGACACTGTGACACTGTGAGACACTGA